TGTATGTATAAATCTTTATTAAAATATTAAAAGCAACACCTCACAACAAACGTGCGGGCTTACAATTTGCACTTACTTATCAATAATTATTATACTAATTTCTGAATTAGTATTGATTAAAATACCATTATTATAATGTTTAATGAAGTTCCTAAGAAGTTAATTTCTAATTTAAAAAATGTCATACGAAGTTAAAAAGACATCTATTAACGAACACTCTTTTAAACATTTCTGTTCGAACTCTCGGTAGTTCATAATCATGTCCGCGATTGCGTAATTCCAATTGACGACTAGGAGGCAGCAAAACTTGTAGGGCATGGTTGGGATCCGTAGTTGTTTTCTCCCATAAATCTCTGTCTTTATTGTTTAATATATCAACAATCGATACCTGATACATAAGATATCCATACTTATATGCACGTTTTAAAAGTTGATCTACTTGACTAAGATACTTAGAATACGACGCACATCCCCAGACCTCTATACTAAAAACTATTATTGATAAAATAAGACTATGGAACAGAAGATCCAGCTCTTTCCAAGAAAACCCGTAGTATTTGCAAATCCGAATAATGTACATTCTGCTACAGGCTTTACTCATTAATTCATCTAGATGCATGTCCCACATGGAAGGATTCTCTTGAAACGTTACACCAAGTATCTTCAACCAACTTTTACGAACAATCATAGGCAGAGGCGCAGGAAGTGGCCGGGTTATCTTCCCGCGAATGACCATCTCCCACGTCTTTTTATAGTTAAGTTTCATGCGATTTGTTTCCGCCCAGTTGATAATATTGTTTGTTTCCATATAAGAGGCGTCACTATCATCTGTGACCTTAATCCCTAGATTTATGTCATCTGCAAATTTAACAATTAAGTTTGAGGCTTGAACAGGACGGATATCATTAATCATTATAGAAAACAGTATTGGACCTAATACTGTTCCTTGAGGAACTCCACGATTTATAGGCAAATATTCTGTTTTAACGCCATCAACAACGACTCGTTGATACGTATTGGTTAGGAAATTGATGATCCAATTGGTAATATAGGGACTAATAGGAAGCTTCTTCAGCTTATTGCATAAAATCTCGTGCGCTACAGTGTCAAAAGCTTTACTGAAATCAAAAGAGAAGACGCGTACCATACTAGCATTACCATCCAACCATTCCATCCAGGTATGTCGCGCTTTTATTAGGGCCATTGTAGAGCTATAACCTCTTTTATATGCAAACTGATCTTTATGGATGGCGTTTTCCATCACCTGGACTAATTCAGTTGTATAGATTGCTCTTTCAAAAAGGCGAACAATTATATTAGTCAACGGAATGGGTCGTAATTGGTTTGATTCTGTCAGAGGAGATTCTTTGGGGACAGGTAAAAGATTTGCTAATTTCCAACTGTCAGGAACAATGCCCAGTTTGATTGAGCTGTTAAAAATTATGGTTATCACAGGCGCAATGTCATACGCATAGGTGTTCCAAAACCAATGTGGTAACTCATCTGGACCCGAGGTGGTTCGTTTCTGATTTAATAGTAGTTTACAAACAGTATGGACGGATAATTCAGGTACTCTTGTGCCACGGGGAATAGGGAGAGGTTGAGGGGTAACATAGTCAGGATCTGTATTAATAGTTTGAAAATGCTCATTCATTACCTTTGGATCAATAATGTGGCTTAATGGTACTTCACGATTACCACGACCAGTTATTTTGTTAACTAATGACCACCATCTTTTAGATCCACAATTTTGGTTCTTATTTTCTTGTTTAACTGCTTTGAGTTGATTGCTCCGAATGAGTTTATTAATTTTTTCTTGTAGGCAATGACTGCTCTCGTTATCTCTCTTGTTAATGGCATTTTTCCTCAGCTTTAAGAGATGCTTAACTATTGGAGAAAGAAAAGGAGGGTCTCTACTAGATACTCGTGTTTTAATAATTGGGAAACATTCTTCGTATATTGGCCAGATTTTGTAATAAAAGTTGTTGATCATTTCGTTTGGACAAGAAGTACCACTGGAGATTGTGTCCCATTGAAAGTCCTCCATTTTCCGCAACATTTTTAACTTATTGTGCTCTCTTAAGTCGCGAAACTCTACTGTTTTTCTTATGGCTTTTGCCTTAACCACAGGTTTAAGTAAAACAGCCAGATGGTCAGATCGTACAAGGCTTTTTATCGTTTTAGCTTTACTCCAGAAATTGGGGGACACATCAAGGATATTTTGGCCACGAGTCGGAAGATTCACAATCTGTACTAACGAATGGTAATTTAGCAATGTCTTTATCGCCAATTGGTTAATGTCACCAGCTATGATTAGTTTCGCGTTGGGCGCTAATGATAATAATCTCTCACATGAGTCCATTAGGAAATCAAGGAGTATATCAGGATGGTATTCAGGAGATGGAGGATGATATATTGCTGATAAGTAAAATATCGAGTTATTGGTTGTTATTTTAGTCCATAGACATTCATAAGGATTCGAAAATTCTTCCAAAATTTCGAGTTTCCAATCGTGCCTACAAAAGACTGCTACACCACCACCCTGCCTACCATATGGTCTGTCTTTCCGTATCACAGTGAAACCGTCAGGGCATACCACTTGACTGGGAATGGTAGATTTTAGCCAAGTTTCTGTCACAATACCCAGATCTACATTGTGACTATTCAATTCTAAGTACAATGCCGAGCAAGCGTCAGGTTTAGCTAAGGATCTCGCATTAATTACAATACACGTAGGAATAGAGCGACTCTCTGGTGGTCCTGGTTTACAAACATGAATAGTTATCAAATTATTCGAATTGCGTGGCGGTGGATTATAAGATAAATTAGTGAATATGTCATCGTTAGTACGTAGGTTTTCACCTATACTAGGGTTCCAAGTTGGTGCGTCTCACTAAATTTGCGTGTTTAATAATGTTTATCAAAGAAGGCAAAAATATATACAAGACAACGTCGCATGTGGAATCTGTTCACTTACGCACAGCCTTGTGATGCAGTACAAGTACAAGTACAAGTACAAATACAAATGACAAAGCATTTTTGAAGGCTTTAAATCCTAAAACATAATTAAATCATACGGCACATTCAAGATTTTAATATCGTATTTCAGCCGCATTTATACTGCTTGGCGCGCATTCGCTGTGTTATATTAATTTATATACCTATGTTATATACACATGCAGATTTATTACTAATAAATCAACACTATATGATAATATAGAACTCACAAAGTGCAGTCACCTTTTTATAAATAAACCTTTTTAAAAGCATGTCATTGTCATTCAGTGTAGACCAGAGGCAAAAAGCACAGCCACATACCAAATTTAAGCAATCGTGAGATTATATACATGGAAAGAATATGGAAATTATGTTAAAAGCACCCCGCATAATGACGAAAGCACCGCGTATAATGCTCGAACCACTGTCCACTGCGTATAATGGCGAACGCACCGCGTATAATGGCGAAACTATCACTTATAATTCTCGAACCACTGCGTATAATAGCGAAAGCACCGCGTATAACGCTCGAACCACTGCGTAACGACAAAATGCAGTTTGATCACTTACGCCAGCTATGGTTTTCCATAAAAGAAAACCGAAGATGAAAGATGATCACAATGCTTGTTTGCCTTATGCCTGTTTATTAGGCAAGAATAGCCTGTCGGCCCGGAAGCAGTGCATTGTGGTTAGACCGAAATACGCCGAAACGATCGAGATTTCATCTTCATATATACTAGGATACCTGCAAGATAGGGATTGCTGCGGGCATTAAAAGCAAATAGAACTACAGTAAACAGCACGAATTATATCAAGCACAGTGATTACTCGCAGCGACCAGTGAGCTGTGAATGGAACTGAGAAGAAGCAATATATATTGAAGTAGCAAAGACCAAGGGTTAAAGGGCAATCAGAGGTGACAGATATTAAACATGTGCGTCTCAGGCCCCCTTTACACGAGCCCGGGTTGATTTTCAACCCGGGTCAGCACGCCACAGGTGGTTATTTTTTATTCTGTTTACATGAACCCGGGTTGACGACAATTTTTGCTAACCCGGGTCAGCAATTCTCAACCCGAGCTGACTCGAGTAATATTCCGAGCAACAGACTGGAGCAGAGTGTATTTTGTATCCCTTATTTTTTTATTTTTTTTATTAGTTTTACAATAAGAAATTGAAGGCACAAACAACAGGACTAATAAAGTCCCAAATTAAGTCCTGCCATACATGAAAATACTACGCTATACTATGCTATACTATACTATAAACGGTTATATAATTAACAAAATACATAGCTAGTTACATATTTACGGTATTACACATAATTACATTCGTACAAAAACTCAGAACATGCACTTCTACGAACAACAAGACATAAAACAAGAACGACATTTAGAGCAAAACGTTTTCCAAGTCCTTGGCCTATTAACATCAAAACATACATTAACTTTTTTAGTGTAGTGATTATAGAGTTTAAGTTTCAGTGACTGAATAGAGAGAAGGATTTTATTTCTCCTGGCAGGCTGTTCCAAAGTGGCACTATCCTATTGAAAAATAGATTTCGGAAAGAAGATGTTCTGCAACGGTTTGGTCGGTATGAATCAGTAGAGCTAAAGCGAGTGTGATGATTAGTAGAATTGTCCAGAATATAGTCTTCAAGTGTTAAGTCGTAATAACCAGCTTTGCATTTATAAAAAAACGTAATATCTTTGATTTCGAACCAGTATGAAATAGGCAGTAGGTTAAGTTTCTTTAAACGGTTGGTGTAAGATGAGTTGAAGTCTTGAAGGATATACTTGGTTGCTTGTCTTGGGACACTTTCAAGACAAAGAAGCCCCTAGATGTTGTTTGGGGTGCCCAAATTTCACTGCCACAGCACAGGTGTGTACGAACAAGTGTCAAATAGAGAGAGCGTCGACAATTTATATCAATTTATATCATTTGTATCTTATAGAGCTCATACGATCATATTCCTTTTAGTTTTGGCTCTTATATCTTTCAGTATACGATTATATCCCCTTTTATCAGGGATTTAACCGTATAGCAACTTAATTCTGCCTTAAAGACGTTTTCTTTCTTTTTTGATAGCTCCTCAAATATTCGGCATCGAACGCCAACGCCATACCTTCGCGCAACTTTGAATACATTGTGACAACATCGGAGTTGAAATCTATATTTTCATAATCCATCTCAGCTCCGTCTTATAATGCTTCAGAGATGTCTGTACTAAACAGAGACGGAGAAAATACGCACGCAAAATGTTGAAATTCGATATGACGCTAGGTGCAAAGTTCACAATCATGAATTTACCGCACTTTACATGATCCCGGGTCAAGCCAACCCGGCTTTACATGAAGAAATGAATAAACTTTTCACGCGTTCACACCTCGCCAACCCGGGTCAACCCGGGTCTCGAGAAGGGTGCCCCGCGTTGGCGAGGTGTGAAAGGTTGACCCGGCTATCGTGTAAACGCTAATAGAGATTTATTCGTAGACGGGTTGACCCGAGCTGGCAAGCCAACCCGGGTTGATAGTCAACCCGGACTCGTGTAAAGGGGGCCTCGTTGACATACAGGTAAATTAAGATCAGATTTCATATCAAGTCTGTTTACTGCTAGGCGCATTTACCACATTATATAGACTATATACACAGATTTATCACACTAAGAAACCAAAACTTTATAAAAATATAGAACTGACAGTGGCCAAAGTCCAAAACAAATGTAAGCGTAACATTAGACTTGAAAAAGCTTTAGAAATTCGATAAAAATTCGAAGACTCAAGCGAGTTTAAAATTTGTGTTCTGCGCATAGAAAGTGCGCACGACCACAATTCCATGCGCTAAAACTTCAAAACCCCCTCTCTGCACATATTAGGCTGCTGCTGCGCTCGCTCGTTTCAGGCTCGCTCGTTCCGCAGCAATAATACATATACCTAAAGATTGGGTCTGCTGCCTTGCTCGCTCGCTTCAGGCTCGCTCGCTGCGGCAGCAATAATTTATTCTCCCGCTGGAAATGACGCACCGGTACACGCGATTACAACAAGCGACATTTTTAGAACTCGGTCAAGTTTCTAAAACTTTCAACGGTTTTCAACAAATCATTTCGAGTATCAGCAAAATATTTATCAATGGAAATAACCGAGAAGAAATATTACAGTATTTGTACAAATCGCACTGCTATTTGCACAACAAAGTTTCTTTTTAACCAAAAGTTAAGAATAATAACTGTTGTTTGCGTCTTTGCGATCGACACAGTGCAGCCATGGACTGCGGTCCTCGCATCTGGATGTTGGTTTCGTTTCTATCACTAATAGCCTACTAGTAGCGTGGTCAATCAGAACGATGATAGCCTACTAGTAGGTTTATACTAATTACAAATAGCCGCAGAGGAATGCAAGTATGGTTCCACATTCTACTTGAACTTGGCCGACACTTTGCTAACATAACATACTCATAATTTTCCTGCAACTACTTTTAAAATAATATCGCTCTATGCCAGGAATTGCATTGCAATTATAAGTTGCAGTAAAAATTGCCTTGTGTAACATGGCCTTTATTTAACTTTGTTCTGATCTGTCCTTCTATAAACCAGAACAATATTAGTAACTATGGGCATGTTATTTATCTAAAGTTGCGAATTAGGTATAAACAAACGTCAGCCAAATTTGTTTATGATGTGTTTTGTTTCAAATGTTCAAAAACACTCGTTTTTTATATTTGTATCTGGTATAATATTCAATTTGTATAGAGAAAAACTTTGCATTCAATAAACCTGCACAACAATCAAAAACGACAAACAGCGGCTCTGCTTCAAGAGCTGTGGATGGAAACAAAAACCGGAACTACAACAAGGAGTCGTGTACCCACACAGATATAGAAACAGCACCTTGGTGGCGAGTGGATTTAGAACAACGTATTGCAGTCACAGAAGTGAAAATCGCAAATAGAGATGAAGTTGGCATGCGACTTTGTGGCTTCGAGATAAGGATTGGAGATAGTTTAGAAAATAATGGAACTACGAACCAGAGATGTGAAACTCAACAAGATATCCCTTCTTGTTCTGATCAGGTAATTGAACAGACAGTTTTGTTGGTTCAGAACATGACTAAAAGTACTCAAATTTACCACTTGACTTCGAGTTCCGTACGTTCACCTTGCAATGTCGGGGTAGCAACGTAGATTATAAGTTGTGTTTAACTTGGTCATCTTATACAAACAAAACAAAACAATGAGGCAGTTGTTTGTTTAGGTAGAAATCTCAGTAAAACGTTTGAAGCTAGAGTACAACATGGTACCATATTAATTCGGTTTTTTATTCGTTTTTAAAAACGTAAGTCGCTACATTTAAAATACTCGCGATAATTATCGTTAACTTTTAACTATTAATTGTTAGCTTTTTCTACTTAGGAGGTTAAAGTCTCGTGTGTACCCACGGTGGTTGGTCGTTATGTGACGATAGTTATTCCAGGAGAACAGAAAGTACTAACATTGTGCGAAGTCGAAGTCTATGGTTCTATAGGTATGTAGGTTGAGAAATCCCAGCAGTCAGTCAGTAAGAAAAAAGTGTTTAATGTTCTTCTGAACTTGAATTTGTCTTTTTCAAATGTTACCGGTAAAAAATGTGTAAAAACACTGGAAAATTTGACCGTACATTACGCCTTTATGTACAGTACGCCTTTATGTACCTAAGAAATCTAAATGTATGTTTATTGCATCCCCTTATAAAATTAAGAGGGGTTCCGTGTGAAAACCATGCAAATTTGAAAAATCGTTCTACAACACAGTTGACGGATTTTGACCAAATTTTGGTGAAGCATGGTGATGGACCGAAAAACGTCACAGGCAAACTTTCGTGTGTTAGAATTAAATGGTTTGGGAGATATGGCGCATTAAAAGTTTACGGTATGTCTGGACCGGAAATAGATGATTTTTACCGTATATTTTGAGTGTTCAGTAAGAGGCATGGTTCAAAAGTCGGGTAACCTAAATATGATTTTTAAGATGAGAGAAGACTTGCAATTATATTTACATAATGGCATTATCTCCCCTTGCCCTGGTTTACAGGTTACGGTCAGGCATTGAGGTAGCAAACCACGTGCAGTTGACACGAAGCCAAATTTGACAATATTAAAGCGAGTATTTCTCAAATGCGGCGGGGTAAGGCATCTTAGGTTTGCATTCTATTCTTTAATTGACACCTAAATATAAAAACTAGACGAAAAAAAGTGTGAAAAATAGACGAATTCTTGGACAAATTTTGACAAAAACACCGCCTCGTTGTCAGCCACCATTTTGTTGTTTTGTTGATTATTTTTATTTAATCTATATGATTTAAGATTAATCAGTGACAGATTTACAAACATGTTACACCAAATACACAGATATGTATATAGACCGTATACCAATAGTTCAAAATATTACAATAATTGATTCAAAACAAAAAACCGTCCTATATAGTTCACATTTACCAAGGCAATTTACTCAGCTAGCTACCTGTATAGATAAAAAACAATCGTATCGTGTTTTTGTTTCCATTTGCCTTGATCCTGGACTTATTTTATTAAAAATGGAGTGTTGGTACCCAATACTTTATCACACCTTGTACAAATGTGTCCTTGCTGTCTGTCAAGATATGATGATCTGGAAGCGCGGCAAACTTCAAAGACACAAAATAGAAGGCCTTTGTCTGATGTTGAACTGTTCCTCACCGTGCACAAATTTTTTGTCGCCACTTCATTAAATATCATCTGTGACCGTGCACAAATTACAATCACTTCTGTTTAGTTTCCAGACCATCGTAACTTGATAGATTATGCATATACATTCAAGCAAGAAACCCTTATTGAGGCGCATGTACTTTCGGCGTTGACTGATAAATTCGAGCGATAGTGATCAACAATCCACGCTGACTAACAAAATTTAATCCAGAAATCTAATTAATTTTCTATTGCTGTTAATTATTAACAATTATGCCCGAGAGATGAATCACCAGGGCCTCCCAGAGGAAGGCGGGGGGGGGGGTGTCAAATAGGGCAATTTGCCTCGTGGCCCCAAATAAAGCGGTCCCCACAAAAGGTGTAATTAATATAAGTTTTTTTTATATGTAATGCTATGAGAAAAATTTTTAGACCTTAATTTTACTGGTATTTGTCCAAAAAATGTGTTTTACCCGTGATTTTATAGGTATTTGTACGGAAAAATTTTTGGACCTTAAATGTCCGGAAAATAACCTTTAAGTTTGGGTTAGAGTTTGAGCAATGCAGGGCCAGGTTTCATACTGTTAGGATTAGACTGGTGGATTGCAAGGACGGATTAGGTTATTACAACTACATTTCTCGTTCTATGCACTCCTTAAGCTGTTTGCCTTTCCACAGTCTCGGTAACCAAATTGAGGGTATCCAATTCCCACATTTGGGTCAATGTGGTTGAGTGCACCATTGCGCTTTAGTGATGACAGCCTTGCAAAATAACTTTTCACCTGCTGAACAGTCAGCCATTCTTCTCGTGAAAACACCATGTCACCTGCTTCGTTTTTCTTTGATTTCATTTGATTTGCCACATCTTGAGCAGATACCTTACGCCCAGTCTCTTCACCTTGCAGAAAGATCTCAAGAAGATAACTGCGAACATGTGGAGAGAATCTAGTGTTTTTTCTTCTCTTTTTCAGAGCCCATCCTGTCGGTAAGGTAGTTTCAGGGACTGCAGACTCCTTGTTGTTACTATTGGAACTCGTGGATATCTTTTCTGATTTAATTCCTGTGCAGATAGCTGCCCAACGTCGTTTCACACAATCGTATTGTGACTCACGATGCAGTTTAAACTGATGTTTTCCGTAATCCAAATGCCTTGGAAGATTCCTGTCAGATCGATAGGATTTGATGCATCCTTCCTCGGGGCTTGTGAAAGGCTCGTGTACTTCCGGGCTCTATTTGGAAGTCTGATTCGATTGGGCTTCTTTCTTCGATTCATTTGCTTTCAGTGCACCTGTCTTGCTATTGCACTTTGTAAATCCTTCCATCACAATAAGCTGCGTCGCAGCTTGAGCTACAGCAACTTTCTTTAGAAACGAAGAATTGAATTTTTTACCGCTGCCAATATTGAAGGCTTTCCATGCCACTATTTTGGTGTTGGAAAATTGGAAGTTGTTGAATTGGCTAATCCCATCCCATTTATGTGTTTTGATGTCTTGCCTTTCAGGATTGACCTCGACCACTGCCACTTTTACACCACTAACTCCACCATAAGAATCCAGCGCAGCCTTCATTTCGTGACCAGTTGTTACATTGTGTCCCTCGTTCAAATATCGTCTAATATGGGCTTTCATTGGAGCAATCTTTCTATCACATGCATCTTTTCCGGCCTGTGCTTCGCTATAATCATATCTAATGATCTGCATTTTCGAACGCTTAGCAATAGCAGGTAAACTTAAGATAAGTGGGGCGTTGTGGTAACAGCCTGCGTTATCGCTACAAAGGAAAATTCTCTCCAGCTCTGGTTTCTCTTCTTTGATAGTTTGGAAAAGATGCTCCAATATTGAAGCAACACTGAACCAGTCTTGGGTGCACTTCTCCAAGATATGCACATAGGTTCTGACCTACAAAAATAAAGAAGCTTTACCGGTACGAAGAAAGAAGAGCTAGCAAACACTGGCAACAAATGACTTTAAATATAACATTAACTCCTTTGTGACTGACCCAGTACAGGGAAACTGATGCAGACTTTAGCACTCTACTCTGGCTAACGCCAGATGATTTTACTCGTCAAGGCCACCCGAGAGGTTAACTGCCAATAAAAAACAAACAGATTTCAATTTGCAGCGATAAATTTATCTCCATGAATGATTACATGGTGACGACTCTGACAGGAATACTAAGCGATGGAATACTTTGGCCGGATCGTGAGGCTGGATAGCTTTAGATAAGAAAAAAAATGAGATTTGCTGAATAGACGTTTAGGTCATAGAAAATCCTAATAGAAATTGTACCTCAAATTGATCGCTAACTGCTGCACATGCCGACAACTTTGTTATACAAGCTGAAACATGCCAGCTTATTCCTTTCTTGCCAAATCACTCCGACTGAGTTCCCTGAATTTAACAGGCAGCCATTTCATTGCCCAGTCAACAATGATAAGCACTTCTTTGCCAGTTAGTTTTTCAAGAACAGAAGATTTGGCATCGTCTTGTATAATCGTCCGAACAATATGAGCTTTCCAGGCTTCAATCTTTTTACACGCAACTTCAATATCGCTTGTAAGTTCCTCGTGCTCCCTGTTGTTTCTACAATAAAAATGGGGTCATTTTGACAAACAAACAAACAAACAAACAAACAAACAAACAAACAAACAAACAAACAAACAAACAAACAAGCAAGCAAGCGAGCAAGCGAGCGAGCGAGCGAGCGAGCGAGCGAGCGAGCGAGCAAGGAAGCAAGCAAGCAAGCAAGCAAGCAAGCAAGCAAGCAAGCAAACAAACAAACAAACAAGCAAGCAAGCAAGCAAACAAACAAACAAACAAACAAACAAACAAACAAACAAACAAACAAACAAACAAACAAACAAACAAACAAACAAACAAACAAACAAACAAACAAACAAACCAACCAACCAACCAACCAACCAACCAACCAACCAACCAACCAACCAACCAACCAACCAACCAACCAACCAACCAACCAACCAACCAACCAACCAACCAACCAACAAACCAACCAACCAACCAACCAACCAACCAACCAACCAACCAACCAACCAACCAACCAACCAACCAACCAACCAACCAACCAACCAACCAACCAACCAACCAACCAACCAACCAACCAACCAACCAACCAACCAACCAACCAACCAACCAACCAAACAACCAACCAACCAACCAACCAACCAACCAACCAACCAACCAACCAACCAACCAACCAACCAACCAACCAACCAACCAACCAAACAAACAAACAAACAAACAAACAAACAAACAAACAAACAAACAAACAAACAAACAAACAAACAAACAAACAAACAAACAAACAAACAAACAAACAAACAAACAAACCAGCCAGCCAGCCAGCCAGCCAGCCAGCCAGCCAGCCAGCCAACCAACCAACCAACCAACCAACCAACCAACCAACCAACCAACCAACCAACCAACCAACCAACCAACCAACCAACCAACCGCTAAATCTCCAACACCCTCCCCCCCTATTTTTCTTAGGAGGAGATAAATGTTCAGATTGTTCAAAATCTCAATATTCCTCAGTGTTCGTCACCGTTATTCTCGGTCACCTCTCTTATACGTTGACGTGCGGCGACTGCAGCAGCTCTCTTTGGCCTGAACGTAGGTGCTTTCTGGATTCATAATTGCTTTAGCAGGTGGATACAGTTGTTGAACTGCTCGTTCAAGATGAGACTTTTTACTGAGGACTTTCGTAACTCTTACTTCTCCATCTTTCCCAGCAACTAGTTCTTCGACTACACCTAACGACCATTTTCCTCGTTTCTTTTCATCATCTGCAATGATGACAACATCTCCAACTTTTGGTGTAAATCCTCGTTTGGTCTTCTTCGTACGGTGTCTCTCGCGCAAACTCCTCAAGTATTCATTTGACCATCTTTTCCACACTGCGGTTTTGCACTTCAAAAGATGCTTGGCAGGTCCTCGTAAATCACCATCTTCGAGATGGTGCGGTTCCATTTCGGGCAGAATGTTGCTATTTGCGAACAGCATGGAGTTGGGAGTTAATACGGGAAATTGCAAGTCATCTTCAACATAGGTTAAAGGTCGATTGTTCAATGTTACCTCGACATCTAGGAGAACCTCTTCCAACACTTTCCATCTCAGCATGCCTTTTCCGATGCATTTTCAGAGAGCGGATTTTACCAGTCCTACAATGCGTTCAAATTGTCAACCCCACCAAGGGGCGCGGCTGAGGTTGAACTGCCACCGTATCTGTTGCTTGCCCAAATAGTCTAGGAACCTGTCGTCATACATCACCATTCGGATCCACTTTGCTGCCGCGACAAAAGTACCACCGTTGTCGGAATATATTCTTTCGGGTCTTCCTCTTCGTGCCACGAACCGCTTGAGGCTCAACAAGAATTCTGTTGTTGTCAGGTTGGGTAGAAGATCAATCATAACACCTCTGGTTAAACTACAGGCATACAGAAGAATATATGCCCTTCCTTCTCGTTTCTTAGCTGTTCGATATTGTAAGGGTCCAGCAAAATCTACGCCTATCACCTGGTAAGCATTCTTTCCTTCAGTGCGTGTGGTGGGTAAGATACCGGGTAGGGGTAGGGGTGGGGGTGTGGCATATGCACTAGCTGTCAACCTCTTGCATCCATAACAACGTTTCCCAACTTTCTTTACGAGCTGCCTTAGCCGGGGAATCCAATAACGTGCACGAACGTGGCCCATTGTTAAACCAACTCCGCCATGTAATGTGTGTTTATGTGCTTCTTCGACGATTTTCTGTGAAATGAGATGATGGTCAGGGACATAAATTGGATACTTTCCTTGAATACATCCGCGTCATTCTAACAGCTTGTCTTTGCCAGGTTGTAAGTTCAAAGCCACTCGATCGATCTCAAGGTCACAATTTTCCTGAGCTCTCTTAATGTAGAACTGACGCTGGCGGGCAAGTTCGCTAGTGGTCAGCGGTCCTATGACGCGGGATCGTCCTCTTTTATGAAGGGCATTATTTGCAAATCTTCGCATTCAAGCACACACACGAAGAGCTTTCTGCAAGGCCTTTCTGCAAGATTTCATCAGCTTCATTACCATCTATCACCGCAACAGCAAGAACACTTTTCACTAGTTTCGCTTCAGCATTACTTTCAACAGTGGGTTGAGGCACAATGTCATCTGGCCAACGTTCAGAGTCCTTTAGCTAATTTGGTCCCCGCCACCACAGCTCTGCATCACCTAAGTCACCAGCTCTGCTTGCACGATCTGCCAGGTTATCACTCGTTGGTACATGTCTCCAAATCAGATCTTGGTGGTCATTGATCTTCTTGACACGATTGGCCACGAATTGTTTATAATCCCCATTTCCCTTGATCCAGTGTTGAACCAATGTGCTGTCAGACCAACAATAACTACTTTCAACAGGAAATCCATTCAATACTTCGCTTACATTCACTACCAAGTTGGCGGCCATATGTGCTGCCACCAACTCTAAACGCGGGATTGTTAGTTCTTTCTTCGATAGTCTAGCTCTTGCTGCTACCAAGCCTTGGGTTTCGCCAGATGCTTGCTCAACAACTGCATACACACACGCTGCTACCCCGTTTTTGCTGGCGTCTCCAAACGAATGTAGCTTGATGCTTTCGATTGGCTCTCTATGGACTACTAACGATCTTGGAACTTCGACATCGACCGGCAGACCATTCTCCCACTGATTTCACTCTTTGATCAGATTATCAGGCATTGCAGCATCCCAGGCTATCTTCGCATAACATGTGGACCGGTATATTATTAGCTTACTTCGCAACGATAATGGTGAAATGAATCCCAATGGGTCATATATTTTAGCAAGCTTAGCTAAAATACCTCGTTTCGTTTTCACGGTCTCTTCTGTTGGTAGGGTTGCATGAAGTGTATCTGACTCTTTTAACCATTCGATACCAAGTAGTTTGCAGCCTCCCCCACAGGTAGTCCCCAACTGCTGTTTTGTATAAGTAAATTCCCCTTCTGGCAGATCTTCCGACTCTAAATTTTGATCATTTGAATGCCATTTGTGAAGGTTAAAACAGCACTCTTTGAACATTTCTGTTATCTTCTCTTTGAACTCACGAGCTTCCGCCACTGTTGTAGATCCAGAGATCAGGTCATCAACGTATAGTTCATCTCGAAGATTAGCCACGATGTCCGGTTCTCGGTCCTCTCAGGTGCTCAAATGCATGTCAAGGACTCCCCCCAGCAAGAATGGGGAGGGAGCTAGACCAAAAGGCACTCTAGCAAATCTCAAAATTTCAACGTCAGACTGTCCGTCCGCCTGCCAATGGAAGCGGAGAGCATCACGATCGGGCTCCCTCACTCGAATCTGATGAAACGCTTTCTGTAAATCACCATTCAATGCTACCGGGTGAAAGCGTCCTCTGACTAATACATTCCAAAGTTTATTTGTCAGACTGGGCCCTGGGTTTAGACATTCATTAAGTGAAGGCGCTGAGTTATGAGCTCTAGCCGATGCATCATAGACAATCCTGAGCTTCGTTGATTCCGCAGAAGTTCGCAGCACTGGCCGGTGGGGGATATAAAACTCTCTACCTTCGCTGGGATTGCTCACACTTTCAATAATCCCTTCTGTCTTTTGCTCCTCCACGATTTGGTTATATTAGATCTCAGTCCCGCACGATCAAGTCTGCTTGTCAAACCTGCCAGGCGACGTAAGCTGCTAGCTCGATTGTTTGGTAATGGGGGATGGTTTCCACGCCATGGTAACCCTGTTTCATATCGTCCAGTTTCATCTCGAGTAAGTTGCTCCTTGAACTCATCGTAGACAACACTCTGGCTGTTAGTTGGTCTATCTTCTAAGCCCAAGACGTCAAGCCCACATAGTTCTTCGTAGTCAGCTTGAGATGTCTGAGCTAGAAGCATACTTGACACATCCACGGATTCCTTGCCTGGGGACATAATAGTCCAACCGAACCGAGTCAACTTGGCTACAGGTTGACCTGGAAGACCGACTCTAGGAGGTTTCTCTGTCTTCAGCTTCGCAAACTCACTCGCCCCGAGAATAATATGAACTGGAAGTTTATCTTTTATGTCATGATCTTCCATAGCAACTCCTTTCATATGTGTGTGTTTCTTAATGATCTCTTCATACCTTGGGTTATCCAAAAGTAACAGTTCGTTCTTGTTAACTTTAGTTACTTCCACCGACAAGGAAAAATCACCAGTGAGCCCCCCAATTTGAATAGTTGATAGTTCAACCTCTTTTGTTATTGTTCCAAGCATCATGTCAATCTTCCTTACTTCTTTCTTGGAGCATCTTTGTGGAATCTGATCTAATAATGCAGCCGACACTTAGGAGCTCCCTGCACCAGTGTCTAATAGAGCCCGACACTTGAACCCACCTACTTGTACAATAACCACTGGATGAATAACATTTGTACTACTACTAGCTCCGAGGAATTGTTCTGTCACCTAATCACAAATTGATGTGTGATGTCTCCGTTTGCATTTTTGACATCCTAACTTACTCTTGCACTCACTGGCACGGTGCTGTGCCCCTGTGCAATTAAAGCACAGTCCCTTTTGAGCTAGAATTTTCTTTCGTTCTTCTCGAGTTTTGACTTTCGAACAGTTTGTCCCTTTATGTGTGCTTTCTTCGCAGTAAACACATTCTGGTCGCCGTGATTTTTGTTCTGCATCTTGAGTATGGTAGAACCTTGAGTAACCCTTTCCTTTCCCACTGCGCTGTTGTTGCTCTAATTTCTCTTCTATTGGATTGATTTCATGCCATGTTTTTAGGGCCTTTAGGAGGTCTTCATATCCCCAGTTTAGCCAGTCCTCCTTTCCATGAACAAGATCAGCTTTTATACCCTTTAATTTATCTAATATTGCCCCAACATTCCCTTTTACATCAGGCAATCTATCAAGGGTATCAAGGCTCTGAACATTGCAGTGTTGTAACGAGTCGAGTCATTGACTCGGACTCGAGTTGCTATCTTCAACGACTCGACTCGAGTCCAAAACGAAAAATGACTCGACTCGACTGGAGTCAACAGCCCCAACTGACTCGACTCGGACTCGACTTGCTGATTTTGCTGTAAATGACTCGAGTCAACTCAGCTACAACTTGTAGAGAATAAATTCATCAAAGATATTGTGATTGTATTGCTTGGAAGAACAATGAGCCCTGTGAACAATGAGAACTTCGAAACTTTATCAGAAAGTATATGGGATTTGCATAGAATACTGTATATTCCTGACGGGCATGCCTATATTACATTTCTGTTTTTAGAAACAACGCTAGTGCCACAGTTTTTATAATGGAGTCTCAAAATTTTTTGTACTTATGCTAATTCTGACCGGCTGACTTCATTTTTGTATTTATGAAGTGCTATAAATTTCAAATTAACTTAGGCTACAAAGCATGGTTAATTAAAGTCTATCCTTTGTTAATTCTGACTCCAGTTGCAAGTTATCCTAGTTGTATATACGTACACTCTATCAGCAGGATTGATGAGACATCTCATGTGGTTGTACTTAATATTGACTAGAACTGTGATATTGGTACAGCCTATGGCAGCCCAGATACTGTTATTACATGACTAAAGTGATTAGCTTAAAACGTAGATTTGATTACTAATTTCAAACTGAGGTAGCGAACCATTACAAAAAGCGTGAGGTGGACCATTCTCGTCCCCAGAGCCATTTTCACTCGCTCACTCGTTGAAAAGTAGGCTGTGGGTTAGGCGACTACAGCGAGAGATCTGATTGGCTTCTCAGAAAAATCCTATTTCGCAGAAGTTGAGCAGTTTTAGCTAGGAAAAATTATTCTATCAAATATGTCAACGCAAATACTTCGTTTCTTCGTAATACTTCACTTTGAAAATTGTTACGGGTGCTAAAGTGTCACAGTTCAAGACCATGCGCTTTAGAAACTACTGCAAGTTTACTTGCACTTCCAGTTCCGTATGTTCCAGGGCCTAGGGAGGACGCGCGCGGCCGAGAGGCCCTGGGGACAAGGATGTGGGTGGACTTGATCCAATTCCATGACTCAAGTTAAGTCTAGCTATTGACTCGACTCGACTTAAAGCAATGACTCGACTTGACTCGAGTGAAACTGCTGACTCGACTCGACTCGATTGAAGCCACTGACTCGAATCGACTCGATCAGAAACTGAAATGACTCGACTCGACTCGTATCTCGACCTTTGAGTGTCTGGACTCGACTCGTGACTCGACCTATAGGTGACTCGTTACAACACTGGAACATTGTACGAATGCTGTTTGTAAAATTCATTGATCTTTGCTGGATCCTTGCCATTAATAACTGGTAAGCTCATAATGTTAACCACATATGTATTTACAACATCAGCTATCTGTCGGTATTCTGATTCCAAAACTTCTTTCGCCTTGTCATAACCCACTTCGGTGAATGGAAGACCATCTATATCTATCCGAACGTTCTCATCCAACAGTTCTTTTAAATAAGAAAATTTTGTTAAAATCGGTATGTCTGTGGAGTCAATTTCAGATTTAAACTTCCCCCAAAAACGGGAGCCATAAGTCAATTTTTCCATTGAACTTTGTGATGGGTAGTTTGTGTAATTTTGCACCAGAGGTTGGTTTACTGTGTTGATTGTTTACACCTTGTTTCGTTTTCTCTAACTCTTCCTGAAATTTTGCCTTTCGTTCAAATAACTCAAGTTCAAATGCCAACTTTCTTTCGTGTGCGTAAGTTGTTTTGGCTTCTCTTTCATCATCATCCATTTTCTTGATCTGTTGATCTAATAATTTGATATCCTGATCTGCTTTCTCAAGTTCGCTTTCATATAGTTTGCTCCATTCAGCTATAGCCCCTTCATCTTCACCTTTCGCAAATTTTTTTTCTTCGATTGTTTCCTTTAGCTCGTTTACTGCTTTCGATATATTAATAATACTTTGTTTTTGACGTTCAGATGCTTGTCGATCTTGTTTCTCTAATAATTCACTCGTTTTTGTGCACCTAAAGTTGAGGGTTTTTATCTAGCTCGATAGTTCAGCTATTTGTCTCTCCATATTGTGTCACAAATTTCAATGTATAGTCGAATACTCACATTTGTTTACGTTGACAAATTCAACTCGAAAATCCCGAGTATCGTGAATTCGCCTCTCGAGTGTCCACGATAAGTCACAAAATGTTATTGCTAACTCACAATTGTATAATCCCTTTAATAAATCTCAAACTTTAACAAACAAAATCAACTCTCTCACGAGACACGTTTAACGTTTTTCGTACGTTTTTCCCGTCGCCATATTTGAACCATAACATATTTTCTTAAATAACGTACTTTTATCGTCTAGCGCGCGAACGGGCAATTTATCTCTATTTATCCCTACACCTCTAAATCTCGAACAGGCTACTAGTATAGGTTTATACTAATTACGAATGCCCGCAAAAGAATGTGAGTACGGTTCCGCATTCTACTTGGCCGACACTTTGCTAACATAACATACTCAAAATTTCCCTGTAACTACTTTTTAAATAATATCGTTCTATGTCAAAAATTGCATTGCAAGTTGCAGCAAAAATTGCCTAGTGCGACATGGCCTTTAGTTACCTTTGTTCTGATCTCTCCTTCTGTAAACTAGACTAATATTAGTAACGATAGGCATGTGAGTTACCTAAAATTGTGAATTGGGTATAAACAAACGTTAGCCAAATTTGTCTAGGACTATGACGTGCTTTGTTTCAATTGTCCAAAACACGCTGTTTTTATATTTGTATATGGTTATATTTGTATAGAGGAAAACTTTGCATTTAAGAAACCTGCACAACAATCAAAAACGACAAACAGCGGCTTTGCTTCAAGAGCTGTAGATGGAAATAAAAACCGGAACTACGACAAGGAGTCGTGCACCCACACAGATGTAGAAACAGCGCCTTGGTGGCGAGTGGATTTAGAACAACGTATTGCAGTCACACACGTGAAAATCGTAAATAGAGATGTATTTGGCATGCGACTTTGTGGCTTCGAGATAAGGATTGGAGATAGTTTAGAAAATAATGGAACTACGAACCTGAGATGTGGAACTCAACAACATATCCCTTCTGATCAGGTAATTGAACAGACAGTTTTGTTGGTTCAGAACATGACTAGAGTAGCCAAATTTACATCAGCTTCACTTTGAGTTCCGTTCGTTCCCCTGCAATGTCGGGGGTAGCAACGTAGATTATTATAAGTTGTGTTGAACTTAGTCATCTTATACAAACAAAACAAACAAAGGAGACAGTTGTTTGTTTTGGTAGAAATCTCAGTAAAACGTTTGAAGCTAGAGTGCTACATGGTACCATATTATTTCGGCTTCTTATTCGTTTTTAAAAACGCAAGTCGCTATATTTAAGATAGTCGCGATAATAGTTATTTTTTTTTTACATAGGAAGGAGTAGTCTCGTGTGATCCCACGGTGGTTGGTCGTTATGTGACGATTGTTATTCCAGGAGAAAAGAAAGTACTAACGTTGTGCGAAGTCGAAGTCTATGGTACTAAAGAAGGTATGTTGAAAAATTCCACCAGTCAGTCAGTAAGAAAAAAGTGTTTAATGTTCTTCTCATCTTGAACATGCCTTTTTCAAATGTACCTCAAAAAAGTGTAAAAACAATGGAAAACTTACCGTACATTACTCCATTGTGTATGCAACAACAACGCACACTTGACTGTAGGTATGTTACATGTCTTAAACGACAGATCAGGAAGCATGATATAATGATTCTTAAGGTTCTCCCATAACGTGTGTATAAAAATTGAAAATTCTTCTCAATCTTCTTGCTAAAATAAAAGTTCCTCAAGATCCTGAGATCTCACTTTTTCCAGGTCTGCTGCCAGCCGCCAAACAGTCAATCAGTTGGTTGACGGTCGGTCAGTAAGAAACACCAACATTCTTTTTCAGGCAACCAAAGTCTCACTGAACTTCAATTGAACACTGAACGCAGGCTTGCGTTGTTGAATTTTTTTGTGCAAAATTGCAAAATATATTTGAAAGATTAGTACTTTTAACTATACAATGATGAATTTTCGAAATATATACTGTATGGACTTTATTTTGCATTTGTGAGCTCTTGAAACGCTTATAAAAATGTTTGAAATGTTCATTCAACTAAACAGCTTTTGCCGATGAACTGCTTTTAACTTAGTAAAAAAATGTTCAAATTATTGAGTAATTCCGGTTAAGTGTTGAACTAAACAGGGTAATTTAGGAATCTCATATTCACGCAAAAAATGAAAGCAATAAAATTCGTAAACATTAACAGCGACCGCGGAAGTGGGGGTGGGGGTATGCCCCTGTGGAGGCTAGACCCTTCTATATTCTTACTTCATCGATCAACACCAGGCCCCAATCGTAAAATCGCTGCGCGCCTCCTGATTAAACATTCGAATCAAACAAACTTGCCTATATTTCACAATTTCCCATAGTAAATCAATTCTTCATATTTCTTCAAAGCAAATTTGCTTGAAAGTTTTTTGTATGAAACGATTTTCCAAATATATATATATATGTTTCGCCAAATTCAAATCTTGCTTATCCCTTTCCTGGGAACAGCCATATTTGTGAGGTCAGTGAGAAGGTTCCCCCACACACCTTGAAACATAGCCACGTCCGTGTTCTCAAAATATCGGTATCACAATTGTATTTTGACACGTACTCTACCGACTACATATACAGTACTAATATATCTAAGTCTAAAATAACGTTCGATTTTTATGGGTTTTTTACTTTATTAACATAACAATATACTGGATAATCTAACTAATAATACGCTGCATAATCAGCTAAATAACTTAGTAAGTTCCAACTGAATGAGTTCTTAATGAGTTCTTAATGAGTTCTTAATGTTATAAAACGTTCATAACATTCTCACAACATTCCATTTTTCCTCAACTTTGGAATCGATCCTGCGGATAAACCTCGCAACCTCGGCGCGTCACATAAATCGGCTGTTTCGGATCGTTAGTGTTGCTCTTGTGTGAATTCATCAATTGATCTGTTTCGTCACGATTAATCTGGCCCGGCAGGACGTCTCGCGTACTCTGATCGATTCTGCTCCGGTTGAGTATGTTGTCTTGAAACGTTTCTTATCCTCGTACTCTTTCTCGTTCCTCGACGTAGGATCTTTCTCGTACAATCTTGAAAAGTGACTTGTCTCGCATAAAAACTTTCCCGTCATCAAATCGGGCTGTCACGGCGTTTCCTGGTATATTGATCACTTTACCTGGAATCGGGCTAAGTGGATCTGTCCGTTTGTTTTTCATGAGGATCTTGTCTCCAACAGCAATTCTGGATTTTCTCACGTTTCTGCGCTTGTCGTGGTATCTTTTAGACCTCAACTTATACAAGGCATCATTTTGTCTGACTTCAGAGTGGTTATCATGTTTGGGTGTTTCTGAGATCTCTGGCAATACTCCAAATCGCATTTTCTCCCAAACGTGAGCTCGAATGGACTTTTTTCTGTAGCAGGATGCGGTGTGGCACGGTAAGCATTTAACATTCCTTCAATGAGACAGCGATATTTTTTCCTTTCTTGTTTCGCAATTCTCTCCATCTTCTTCACGTTCTGCATACATTTCTCAGCTTCACCGTTTCCTTTCGAATGTCTGGGTTTCATCGGTTTGTGAATGAATCTTCTCTCGCGAGCATATGCACTGAATTCACGTCCATTAAATGGAGGTCCTCGATCTGATTTCAGCTCCTTCACTGTATCAAATGTTGAAAACCACGAATCAAGGATCGGTTTCACACACGAGAACGCTGTAGATCTGCAGTAGCTTACAACAGGATAGCGGCTGTAAAGATCATATCCGACCAGGGTGTAAGTTCTATCTTTGAATGGTCCCTTGAAATCCACAGAGATTGTATGCCAAGGATCTGGTGGCAATGGTGTTGATTGAAGAGGCTCGTCATATGTGCGATCATGAGTGACTTGGCAGCTTTGACAATTCCGTACAGCTTCTTTACAGAGTTTGGCAATTCCAGGAAACCATATCTTTTCTTGAAGAAGTTTCAGCGTGCGGGTCTCTCCCGAGTGCCCAATCTTGTGTGCTTTCTCGAGAAATCTTCTTCGACTGCTCAAAGGTGGATTTACATTGTCCTTACACAGGATGATTTCTCCAACGACAGATAAGTCAGACGCTACTCCGAGGAATCTTGAAACTCTTGGATCTTTTCTGTGTTTCTTCCAGAGGTTTCTTTGAATTACTTCTTTTGGGAATTGATAATCATTGTCGTCTTTTGCCATTCTGGAAAGGTACTCGTTGTCTTTAGAGACAAAAGTTCGTAATCCTTCTTCTAACTCGTTCACAAACTTCACCATGGGAACATCATCATGTCTCTTCGTCAGGTGTCTTGATCCATAATCCGCGATCTTCTCAGCTCCTTTTTTATACTTGATCACATAGTCTAAACCTTGAATGGCGAGAATTTGTCGCTCGTTACGGAGTGGTGCTCTTGAGGTTGGATTGTTGAAGAGATGTACAAGCGGTTTGGAATCCGTAAAGATTTAAAACTTTGGCGCTCCAACCAAGTACATATAAAGGGCGTCAGCACAAGCAAACTTGATCGCAGCTGCTTCTAACTCAGTCTGTCCGTATCTTGCCTCAACGTCAGTTAGGGCACGGTTTTGCTACGTGACACATTTTCCACTGTCCGTCGTCATCTTGCTGGCATAAAATGGCACATAGTCCCCCAGGAACGTTGCTCGATTTATCTGTTTTCTTTCCCGCATCTACGTAGATTCTTATCGGTCTTTCGGGAACAATGTAGGAAAGGGTTGTTTTCTCCGTCAAACTGCTCCTCAAGCTATCGAAAGCTTCCTGTTCTATAGGTCCCCACTGGAAGGTTGAAGTTGACTTCGTTAACTGTCGCAGCGGTGCGGCAATCTGGGCAAAGCTGGTGATAAATCGAGACATATATCCCACCATTTGCAGAAAGCTTCATACTCATTCTTTTGAACTGGGCTCTCCACATTCTTGCAACGCTTTCACTTTCGCCTTCGATGGTTTGATTCCTTCTCCCGTAAATCTGGCACCATAGAAATTGACTTCCTCCTTTCCAAATTCACACTTCTCCAATCTTAATGTTAATCCATGGTCTTGCAGAAGTGTTAGGACTAGGTCGAGTGTTCTGTTGTGCTCGTTTCGATCTTTCCCACCTATTACACAGTCGTCTCGATTACTCTTTACGTAAGGAATTCCCACTAGAATCTCATTTATTCGTCTGTCGATTTCATCTTGGCTGCTTATCCATCCCTGTGCAAGCGTTTCATGCTTCAAATTTCCCCAGGGCGTGGTCACTACTAGATATTTCTTGGAATCCTCGTCAACTTTCATTTGGTGGTAGCCATTGTTCATATCAAGATGTGAAAACACTTTGCAGTCTCCAAACGTTGCCGACAATTCGTCTACTCGTAGCCCAGGTACGATGCGGGTTCTCGATGCTCCTTTGTTTGCCACTCGGAAGTCTGCAGTGATGCGAACATCATCATCTCCTTTTGGTGTGATGACAAGTGGACTGGCACATGAAATCGGTTCTCCTGGTCTAGTCCAAGTCATTATCCCTTCTTGAACAAAGTAATCCAATTTCTTTTTTGCTCTTTCTTCGAGATGGCGTGGGACAGGTCTTGGAGGTTGTATGACTGGTTTTACATCGGATTTCATCTCGATATGAGTGAGGATTGGCTCTCCTGTTTCAGGATTCTTATATCCCTATGCCTTGGAACATCTTCTTATGTTTCTGCAGGATCTTTCTGAGCTCTTCCTGTGGTAGTTTATCATCATAGTCTAGGACCTGTATATGAGGTTTGTATGCGTTTCATTTACCACAGGTAATCTCAACTGTTCCCTAAAACGAAGACTTCTTAAAGACTTCTTAAAGTATGCGACTACAAAGCAAGACGTCGAAGCACAAAGAAACGAAATGAAAATGGAAATTAAGAAAGAATCACTCGAAGTACGAAGATTAGCTGATAAAAGATTCTCGAGAGGAAAATCGCAAAAGCTGTACTCGTTTATAAATCGCGAAAACACGAGAAAACCCATGAATGACGTGAAAGAGAACAGAACCTGCACGAAGTGCGGTCGTGACAAATCACATTCTACATGCCCAGCTGCCGAAAAAGAATGTTTCAATTGTCGAAAGATTGGTAATTTCCGTGCACAGTGTTTCTCAAGAAAATCCAACAGCAGATCGAAGCAAGTAAAAGCTGCTGGCTTGCATGGTGGTTCTGTTATGAATGATGTCCAACAAGATTCGGTCGACTCGTCTGATTCCGATCCCGAGTTTTACAAATGTGTGAGCGAGAAAATGGGCATACGGGCAGTAAAAGGACAAAATACTAGCAACATTTTGTTACCTGTTTACATCTGTGGAACCAAAATTATCGTTGATCCAGATACCGGCGCTGATGTCGACCTAATCTCAGTTAAAGATTTCAAGAGAATTCATGACGCAAATCCTGAGATCAAGAAACAAATAAAGAAACCAAAACAGAAGATCTACGCCCTGAATGGTGAAGAGCTGGAAGTCATAGCTACAATTAAAGATGCAAAGTTGTCAAACAAGAACGCAGAAATACTCACTGATCTCTTCGTTATTGAGGACGGTATTCATAAATTCCCATTATTATCAGAAAGAACAGTGATGAATCTTGGTATGATTAAATACAGCGCTGAGGGAGAGTTTGTGAAGAAAGTTGACGCGAGACGGAGCGATGACAAAGAAAAGAAAGTGTAAACCTGTTGTAGTCTAGGACCTGTATATGAGTTTGTATGCGTTTCATTTACCACAGGTAATCTCAACTGTTTTAGGGTAAAATGACCATGGCGGTCAACATGGCATATGTGCCAAAACCTGAATCCGGGACGAAAGTCCTGAAAATGACCCCGCCCTGAAACGGCAGTGCCGACATAGCTCTAACTTCCGAAAAGCAAAAGCGACAGCCTTTCTGAAGTGCTTATAGTGTTTAGAAGGATTGCTTTTAGGGGTGGTTATTCGAAGGAAAAATTTGTGTAAGTATAATATTTTACAAGAAAATGACCATTGATCACCCCATGTAAATTGCTGATTATGCAGAAAATAACTAATATACATAGCAGAAATTAAATATCCTTATTTCCTAAAAAAAATTACCATGGGATGAAAAACTATGCTTAATTTAATATAATTATTGTAGTTTTCATAAGGATAGTCACTGTTTTCTATAAATATAATATATTTTATTTCACTTACCCCCCACGAAAACACTATTTCAGCCATATTTTGCCGTCTTGTTTGCTTTATATCGCCGTATCTCGCAAATAACATCTAGTTGTTGTTGTACTTTTACATAATGGCAAATGGCTAAAGGAGATTTCAACCAAGTTTCGGCAAGTTTTGGAGCAGTGCAGTGTATTTTATCTTCGATATTGTATCCTTCGATATTTCGTCCATATGCCGCCATTTTAATGGCTCGCCGATTCTCTGCCCGATAAATGCCACTTTCCTCGTCTTCATATTTATTCAGATTACAGTATCCAAGAGTACTCCATTGCAGAATAGTCCTAAAAGAAAAATTGAAAAAATTACTTGCACTTTGAAGGAAAAAACCTCCCACAACAAATTCAGGATAGGAATAAAAACAAATCATTTGAAAGTCACGCGCAATCTTCACGAAAATTCCTTGACAGGGGGGGCGAATATTTTCACGAAATGTTGTTCGCCACCACAGCAATTCAAGTTTCAACTAAATATATTGTATTTATTGTATTTTATGATTTAAAAATAAAAATTAAAAACATTAAATATTTAGGTATTTTTATTATCAATCATAAAAATGCAATCAATATAATATATCTAGATATCCATTTAGGTTGCTGTGGGAACAACGTTTCGTGAAAATATTTCCCCCCCCCTGTCAAGTAGGCACGAGGAATTTTCGCGAAGATTGCGCGTGACTTTCAAATGATTTGTTTTTATTCCTATCCTGAATTTGTTGTGGGAGGTTTTTTCCTTCAAAGTGCAAGTAATTTTTTCAATTTTCCTTTTAGGACTATTCTACAATGAAGTACTCTTGGATATTGTAATCTAAATACATATGAAGACGAAGAAGTGGCATTTATCGGGCAGAGAATCGGCGAGTCATTAAAATGGCGGCATATGGACGAAATATCGAAGGACACAATATCGAAGATAAAATACACTGCACTGCTCCAAAACATGCCGAAACTTGGTTGAAATCTCCTTTAACCATTTGCCATTATGTAAAAGTACAACAACAACTAGATGTTATTTGCGAGATACGGCGATATAAAGCAAACAAGACGGCAAAATATGACTGAAATCGTGTTTTCGTGGGGGGTAAGTGAAATAAAATATATTATATTTATAGAAAACAGTGACAATCCTCATGAAAACTACAATAATTATATTAAATTAAGCATAGTTTTGCATCCCATGGTAATTTTTTTTAGGAAATAAGGATATTTAATTTCTGCTATGTATATTAGTTATTTTCTGCATAATCAGCAATTTACATGGGGTGATGAATGGTCATTTTCTTGTAAAATATTATACTTACACAAATTTTTCCTTCGAATAACCACCCCTAAAAGCAATCCTTCTAAACACTATAAGCACTTCAGAAAGGCTGTCGCTTTTGCTTTTCGGAAGTTAGAGCTATGTCGGCACTGCCGTTTCAGGGCGGGGTCATTTTCAGGACTTTCGTCCCGGATTCAGGTTTTGGCACATATGTCATGTTGACCGCCATGGTCATTTTACCCTAAAACAGTTGAGATTACCTGTGGTAAATGAAACGCATACAAACTCATATACAGGTCCTAGACTACAACAGGTTTACACTTTCTTTTCTTTGTCATCGCTCCGTCTCGCGTCAACTTTCTTCACAAACTCTCCCTCAGCGCTGTATTTAATCATACCAAAATTCATCACTGTTCTTTCTGATAATAATGGGAATTTATGAATACCGTCCTCAATAACGAAGAGATCAGTGAGTATTTCTGCGTTCTTGTTTGACAACTTTGCATCTTTAATTGTAGCTATGACTTCCAGCTCTTCACCATTCAGGGCGTAGATCTTCTGTTTTGGTTTCTTTATTTGTTTCTTGATCTCAGGATTTGCGTCATGAATTCTCTTGAAATCTTTAACTGAGATTAGGTCGACATCAGCGCCGGTATCTGGATCAACGATAATCTTGGTTCCACAGATGTAAACAGGTAACAAAATGTTGCTAGTATTTTGTCCTTTTACTGCCCGTATGCCCATTTTCTAGCTCACACATTTGTAAAACTCGTGATCGGAATCAGACGAGTCGACCGAATCTTGTTGGACATCATTCATAACAGAACCACCATGCAAGCCAGCAGCTTTTACTTGCTTCGATCTGCTGTCGGGTTTTCTTGAGAAACACTGTGCACGGAAATTACCAATCTTTCGACAATTGAAACATTCTTTTTCGGCAGCTGGGCATGTAGAATGTGATTTGTCACGACCGCACTTCGTGCAGGTTCTGTTCTCTTTCACGTCATTCATGGGTTTTCTCGTGTTTTCGCGATTTATAAACGAGTACTGCTTTTGCGATTTTCCTCTCGAGAATCTTTTATCAGCTAATCTTCGTACTTCGAGTGATTCTTTCTTAATTTCCATTTTCATTTCGTTTCTTTGTGCTTCGACGTCTTGCTTTGTAGTCGCATACTTTAAGAAGTCTTCGAGTGTCCAGTTGTTTTCTAACGCTTTTGCTTGAAGGCTTTCGTCTTTGCACGTTAATTTCAAACGGTCTAAAATCATTTCTTCGTCGTGTCCGTGAAAGTCACACTCTTTAGCGAGTCGTCGAAGTTCGAGTTCGTATTGAGCAATAGATTGATTCTATTGTCGAACGGCTTTGCTAAATCTAAACCTCGCGTGCAATCTCGTGTTTTTCGCCACGTATACATGCTCAATTTTCGCTATAAGCTTCTTGTATTTGTCCAAGTCGCCCTCTGGTTCAGCTCGGTTCTCGTCTATCGAAAGGATTTTGTCGCCACCATGAACTAACAACGCTGCTTTCATATCGTCTGGCTTTACTATATGTCGAAATATTTCATTTGAATCTCGAGTCTTCGTCTCCACAACCATTTGCATGTGGTTTTTAATATGTCTTCGTCTGGCTCGAATTCTTCGATATTTAACGCCTTTCTCGATTTAGGAGGCAAACTATAACTTTGTTTATTCCTCGTCGCCAATGTTATAAACTCAAAATATCGGTTTCACAATTGTATTTTGACACGTACTCTACCGACTACATATACAGTACTAATATATCTATGTCTAAAATAACGTTCAATTTTTATGGGTTTTTTACTTTATTAACATAACAATATACTGGATAATCTAACTAATAATACGCTGCATAATCAGCTAAATAACTTAGTAAGTTCCAAATGAATGAGTTCTTAATGAGTTCTTAATATTACTAGAAAATACATAAATGCAGAAACCCTCGCCTTGCTGACAAAACCGTTGTATTTTCCGAACATGAAGTATCTAAAGTAGTTGTCATGGTAACACGATAATTTTTTAAGAATACTCTTACAAATGAAAGATCGTCTAAAAATATCGCTTTTAATTACAAAATTATTAATTTCCCAACATATATATGTTAGGTATGTTATTATAAGTAATATAAACCTCAATTTAAGGTGGCTCCCTACAGTTATAGTCCAGTTTAGAACATTTATATAGCTCAGACGTCATCCTCGCGACTCGCGCGTGGAATCTTCCGGAACCGGTAAAAATCTTGAAACAAGCCGCGGGAAGTTGTTTTTGTATTTTTATCTGCAAAGAAAACGCCAGTTTTTTTATTATAATCCTAAACTTTTCAATATTCGAACAGTACGTATGTTGTTAGCCAGTTTTTTACCTACCTTTTGTGTGTGTTTTTTTATATATTTAAAAGTACTGTATTTCATAGTGCTCACAATGTTCAACAACAGTGTGTCACGGACTGAAATTATATTTTATACTGTCTTCAAGGCACTCCTGAACTGTCACTGAAACTTACACAAATCCTGTCATTCAACTCAGTTCACATGTAGTTTTTTATCTACTGAATCCAATAAAACTATAGTGCAGACAGTTACGAGTTGTTTTATACGAAAAGTCAAACTCTACTTGAATGTTTTGAAAAGTTTTCACACCGATTTTCACAGCAAAACTAAATTTAAGAAACGTTGGATTTAAGAAGCGTTATTGTGTTGTCGATTTTTCGTATTTTGAACATATATATAGACCTATATATATTTTATTTACATTTCAAATCAGTAAAAAATATCTGTGTGATACATATAAGCCAAAAAATCAAAGTGAAAATTACTAAAAAAAGCCAACTATAAACCATACACGTTTCGTGTTCCTCACGCATTATAGTTTACACGCATTCGCAAATAGTGATCATGTCGAATCGAAATTTTGTCACGTCAACAGATTCAGCTGGATTTAGGACTATTTTTCTCGCGCTTCCTTCGGTGAAAATTTTTTAAACTTTGCAAGTTTGCTAAGCATGACGATTCGCCAAACATGTCAAAATTTCAAGAAATTCTATAAGACAGATTTTTTGTAGTCGTTATTCATGAATATCTCAAAACCTGCCTTATAAACATCCCTTCAAATTTTAATATGTCATTCCTCTTTCAACCATAAATCTTAAAAAAAAAATTCAGAAAAATTGACCGAAGGAAAAAAAAGATATTGCTGTTTGATTGTAAAATTAGACAATAAAAGTGCAAAAGATGAAACATCATGGTTGCCATGGCAACACTAACACTGTTCCTATTTGTTTATATATCGACAGCACAAGACTTCTGAACTTTCCTGGAAATGATTAGGCTATATTGCTCTGTCTTAAGTGTGTTCAATATAAGTTTGTTTGAAAACGAAGGTTACCTAAAATACTTAAAATTTTAGAAAACTGTAGGGAGCCACCTTAAGGTAAAATTCAACCACAAACGCTTCGCAAAACGTTTTAAAGTCACTAGAGTTCTTTATAAAACTAAATATCTGCCTTTTAAAATGACTTTATCGATAAACTTTGTGTTTGCAATAAAATGATTTCAAATTCTCGCTTGCAAATAAATTTGCTTTCTTTTTTATTTAAAAAATTCAATATCATAAAGAAGGGAATCAATATTAAAGATACACTAGCGAATTATATGCTGTCTTGTTTAGTTGTTTCATATACGCGAAGGCCGTCGGGTTTTAAAGCCATTATAAAATCAATATTTAAAACAAACTTACCTTCGTTAACGTCGGCTCCCTTCTTTTAGCTGATTCTTTTGCAGTTTCTTTCTGAGAGAGCTTTTGAAATTTACAAAATCTTGCAAAAATGCGAGAAAAAATGAAATATATTTGCAAGAAATTTATCAATCATCAAATCACAAGAATAAGATCAGGAAATGTTTGCTTACTTTGCTATTTCGCTGTCGTCATGCAGTCGTTATAATGCAAACTTTAAATTGGACCAATCAGCGTCCGCAATTCTTGACAGTCCGCCATATTTTTGAGATCAGTGAGGATGACCACCCACCGAAACATCGTTGGTGAGCCACGCCCGCGATATTTGATGAACTTTAGACTGCGCTAATGCTTTCGTTTCTCCGGGTGTAAATAGCCGGGGGGAATTAGTACCCTCGCACGGCGCTTCGCGCCGTCGGCTAGGGGATAAAACGTTCTTAATATTCTCACAACATTTATTGATGAGCTTTAGACTTGCCAAATGCTAATGCTTTGCTTTGTTTTCCCCGGGTGCAAATAGCCAAGGGGGATTACTACCCTCGTCCAGGGCTAACGCTTTAACAGTGCCCTGTGAAGATTGCTAGGGGTGCTGAAGCATCCCCCCGTGTTTCAATTATTTCATTAATTGGAATAGTAATATTTCATTGACCACAATGTTGGTAAATTTATTCACTTCGCCTTTCAGGACGCGATCAAGAATCTTAATATTACAGAATCTTAATATTTGTTCATTGTAAACTATGGCAGTAAAAAGAGACTGTTCGAAAATCAGGCTCGCACACTAGAAATGAAAATGCTAAGACCCAAAGAACCCAATTCAACTCTTGTATAATGGCTAATCAATTACCAGTACGAATATCAGCTAGAAAAATTTCAGCAAAAAAATCTAAACTACGCCACGCCTGCAGAAACCTAATTAAAGATAAAATTATCGGACGTGAAACCAGCAAACATAGACAAATTCCTAAATGTTTAGTGCTGAACGCTAGATCGCTAGCTAAGCCTGATGCTTATTCTGCACTCTATGCTGAACTTAATAGCAGCAACACTGATCTCTGTTTTATATCTGAAACGTGGCTTCATTCAGCTATACCAAGTTCACTGATTTGCCCTCCTGGTTACGGTATTTTTTTTATTATTATTACGCCCGTAAAAAATATCAAGTTATTTACATTTGTTTTTCTATTGTTTTGGATAGGCTAAGAGCCTTGTAGAAACCTAATAGGCTTTTAATTTAAGACCCCTATACTTACATTATTTCATTCTTATATTTAGTCAGTTCGAATAATATATTATATTGAACAAAGATGAAAGTACATATAACAAGTATAAAATAAAACATTAACATGCATATAAACTTAATTATATATATTCGAAGTGGAAAATACTATATATGTATATTTACAGTAAAAAAGGTGATAATATATTTTAAACCATTATACATCAATTGTTGAATATATAGTGATCTTTTATTTTAATTTTAAAAGTACTATAGGAGAAAATAGATTTGTATTTAGATGCCATGTTATTCCAAACATCAACTATGCATGGATTACATAACAAGTATGCATGAATTACATAATTCGTTCTTTTATAAGTCTTGTGAAGCTTAGTTGCATTCCTTGTGCCATGGTCATGTATTTCATTATTGGGTATGAAATAATTTACGAATGTTTCTGGTATATTCTTCAAATTATGATATCGAAACATAAATAAACTTGTTAGGTATTGATTCAATTTATAAATGCTTAGTATTTTTAACTCCTTAAATATTGGTTCGGTATGTTCAAAGTAAGAGTTAAACGTCATTAGACGAATAATCTTTTTCTGAATATTTACTAACTTTTGTGTTCTCTTTTTGTATGTGTTACCCCATATTAGATTACCGTAAATACATATGGATAGACTAATGCATAATAAATTAATTTAAAGCTTTCAAGTTTATGAAATGCCGGATCCTGACAACACAGGGAACCCAGGCGTTGATCTGTGTTAGTGTTGTATGTTTTTCAGTTTATTTATTTTAGTGTCGTTATATTGCCTTTTAATGGAATTATAACACTAAATTACACTAATATGTCATATAATAATAATACTCCTATAGTCGAACATATAATAACAACATATAAGTTGATTTGTATTTGTATGTTATTTCAGTTTATTTATTTAAGATCTATTATTAGCTTATATAAAAGCACCGCCTTTAGAACCTGACAGCCCGTTCGCAGGATACGCGCGGGATTTGAAATAGGGGGCGGCAACAATATAAATACGTGACAAGGGATGAAACTCTTAAAGTTTGTCGTATTATGAATGCCCCGAGTTGAGTGGACCGATAATTATGCAATGAATGTCGTGTCGAATAACGCCGTCAACATGGGGTGGAGTGGGCTTTCCTGTTTCCGCCCTGACGAGGTGATAAACGACGGTTGGTTGGTTGGTTGGACGTTGGACTTCAGTGCAAGTGACAGGCCTGAAAATGAACTGTTGTCCTAATGGATAAGTTACTGAATTTAACAGCGGATTTGAGAGTATGATGTTATTTTCTTTGGCAAGATTTGATGCCATTACAGCAGTATTTTTCCCCACGGATGTAAAGTACTGATTAAACTCTTCTACAAGTATCTTAAGAGCTTTAATATATACTTGCTTCTCTTTTTCTTTCGATGGGATAATATTATTAACGATCTTCCAGAGAGATCCTGAGTTGTTTTTATGTGCTTCAACTTCATCAGAAAGATAGTTGCTTGCTGCTTTTTTAAGCCTGTCCTTTACGTTATTTCGAGATTCTTATTAGGCTTGCCAATCTTTATTATCTTGCATTTGTGGCAATCTGCGGTGAAGTTTATCTCTAGATTTCATATGTTCTTTTATTTCACGTGAGATAAATGGGTTTGATCGACTTTTACTGGTGCATGTAGATCAAGAGTTGAATGAAGAGCATTTTTGAGCGTTTCCAATTGTGTGTTAACGTCTGTATCTGAGAAAATTAACAAAAGATCATCTGATTTAACCGCGAGGTCGGAAGAAAAGTGTAAGGGGTCGTAATACTTGTAGCTTCTCGCTGTAATATAATTTGGTGGCATCTTTGGGGCTTTCACTTTAAGTATGACATATACTGGAAGGTGATGACTAATTTCAGAATTTATAACACACCACCTTCGAGTACAGATGCTGTGTTCGAAACGAGAATTACATCGATAAGTGATTAATATGTTGTATCAGTAATTCTTGTCGGTTTTTTAGTGATTTGTTGCTGGTTTAGCTTTGTGGAGACTTCTATACGAGTGCCTTTCTGTCCGGTCCATCATGGAGCTATAGTCTCCTATGCAGACCTACTTTAGCGGGTTTGGGCCCGCCACGTACGGTCTGCTTACTTTGGCTAGCAATTCGCCTTCCCATTGTATTCCATTAGCCAATAGCATTCAAATACACTAGACACGCCCACTTTGAATGTCAACTGTAAAGTGTAAACAAGGAGCGTGCGATAATCGAATAATAATATATACGTACTTAAATGTGAACAGCCATAAATGTGGACCGATCGAGTTTTCTGATCAATAGCAGTCGAAGTAGAAAATATTGAATATTTTTCCAACGAATGTACGCGATAGGTCGAAGGCTTAAATGTATATAAAACTATTCACTGGTAATACTTGTTTTGAACTTGACGCGACTGCGTGACGGCATGTATATTCAATATATACTATAAGTTTCCGAACGTTCAATATCAGAGGATCTCAGAGCGACTTTTGTAATTACGATTTTATTAAACTTTATAAACTGGCTAGGCATATACAAACTTAGAAACCGAAATGTGCAATGAATCAATTCAGTATTTTATATAGGCTGAATTCTGTAATCTTCATGCAATTAGTATTTATAAATCTATCGATCTACACCCGCAGTATTAAAATGCACACAGTAACTTTATAACTTTGTGTTGAGGTCTTTGTCCAGTATATTACCCGTGTTACAGTAACACATGCAAACGCTTGTAAAGTAATAAAAACATCGCGAAATATTTTAGGTGATATTGTTCGATTTTACTACACTGTCTGTTTAAAACAACAGCTCGGCAAATTCTAACAGATTTTACAATTGTTCCATATTGTAAATTTGTAGACTGGTATATATGTATATAACAAATCACTGTGAACAAATATATCTCTCAGCTCTCGCAGATAATTGGTTTAAGATATGAATATGTACAAATGAAGATATGAAATGTTCAAGATTAAATGTTTTGAAACTTTTGACGACCCAAGCCTCAAGGTCAAAGGTCAAGCCCCACAATTTTCGTGGGTAAAGCTGTGATTGGCTCATTTTGAGGAAAGGAATTCTTGGCCAAAGTAAGCATACCTTACGTGAGGGCTCAGACCGCTAAGTAGGTATGCGTAGGAGACTATGCAGGATCAGGCAATTCTGCACGAAGAATTAAAATGCCTTCGCGGGATTATCGCGGGATTCTCAAAATGTCATTGTTTCCCTGTAGTTACTTCATAAAACAATTACCAAATGGTTTTCCGAGCAGAATAGCGTGATCCATGCACTTGGGATGTTGCTCGACTTTCGGAAAGCGTAAAAATACACTCGCCTGCGGCTCGAGTATTTTTACGCTTTCCGAAAGTCTCGCGACATCCCTCGTGCGAGGATCACGCAATCCTGCACGGAAAACCATTCGGTATTCCTCTAATATGCGGAATCCCAATCATCGTTGCATCCTGGCGAACATCTCGTCCCGCATTTCATATATACAGGGGGCTTTAAAGACCAGACTTGCCATTTCGTTATGTATAGAGTGCCTCCCTCCCACCCCCATGTACCTTTTTGAATCAGTGATTTCCTCTCAAGCGCCTTAAGTATACATCTCGCTTCTTGAGGGCTGTACGATGCTCTCCCGGCCTCTTTCGATGACCAAAACAGCTCGAGGATATCTGAAGCTATATTTGTATCTTCTGGAAATATACCAAAATCAAGGAATTTCTCTCGTTCGTTTTTCTCCAAACGTTGAAAGCTAGCATCAATGGCTGCTAAGATGTTATCGTAAGGATACATCACAGCGGGAAACTGTGAATGTAATTGTTCCAAGCCAGCCTTTTGAAAGTACCCCAATACATCTTGCCAGTCTTGTTGTAAGCGAGTGTCGATTAAATTTGAGCCCACTAGCGACAGAGCCAGCGGTAGTCCTCGGCACTGCTTTAACAGTTCTTCGACAATCTGGTGCATTTCTGGACTAAACGTAGACAGTTCGTCTGGTTCGACCCCGGCACTTTGATACAAGAGCGCTCGGGATTTATCCGCGGCCATAAATTGGAGTTCGTACACAAAACCTTTTGAGCCACGAACAACTTTAGCATCTCTAGTAGTTATTAATAATTGGCATTTCCCAGATAGGTGATCAAACACAGCAACGTCGTCGACACTCCAAACATCATCAAGGACGACTAAACAATCTTTATCACTCTGCAATACATTGCAAACAAGCTATGAAAACGATATCCCCTGACAATCTCTTGTTCGGGATAATTTAATCAGGTCAAACGAGGATGTGAGTTGATGAGAGTTGCAACTTTCGCTTGCATATTACTGCAACTCTCATCGACTCTCATAAACCACATCAACTTTGAGCTGGCTAAAATTTTGATGAGAGTTTTTGCCACACTTGGTCATATCCAGTCAACTCTCATCAACTGTCATGTAACTTCTGTTCTTGTTTGTCCGGAACATGAGAGTTGAGAAAATTTTCACACAAACTCTCGCTTGTCAATTCTCGTCAACTGTCATCCTTGGTACCGGTTGACCAAGGCTTTCGGGACAAGACGATGCACAATACACCAATTATCATATACCATATTGTTTTACAGCACAGGACAATAATAGCCATATACAAGCGTGAGTGCAGTTGTCTATCTTATGCAACATGGATAATGCTGTATATAGTTTGGGATTCGTCTTGATGAAAATGTTTGTAAAATGTTTCTATGAAAATGTTTCTTCAAATTATCTTAAATATATTAATTTTATTATATAGTAGAGAGTGACATACTGAAAATATACAGTGAGATATTTCCATATCTTCACTAGTGAAGATATCGATCATGTGATTTTTAGTGTTTATACAATAAACGGAACATTAAACGGTGGCTTGAAGATATGACATTTATCATCTCCTGTTAAAAACAATTTTAACTCACACGCTGCGCTCGTTCGTAAAATATTGTTTTCACCACTCGAAGATAAAAGTCATATCTTCGCGCCGCCGTGTAATATATTTGGTGAGAAAAAGGGGCTTACAGCTTACGTGAATCAGCAAAATTTCTTCGCGGTCATGATTTATTTTGCTTCCCCCACACTTATTGAAGATGATGTCACACAAGGTAATTTTCAACGACGATTCTTACGGCAATGCGTTGCCGAATCAATCAAATTCCGTATAACGTATTACAAATTGTTATTGAAAATCGTTCCGTTTCACATCGCCTGAATGAGAATTACAGAGAGCATTAAAAGCATACGTACCGTATTTGCTTTTATCCAGGCTTGTGCGGCATGGATATCACTGAAAGATACAGCTCCCCCAATAACTTTAATGAGGATGTTAATCAATGCTAAGCAGTCTGGGGTTTCACCAATGTCAAGCCAGATAACCTGACGAGAATCTGAAGCAGCCGAAGCAACAGCCAGGGCTAAGACGGTCTTACCGAGGCCCCCCATTCCACGGATACCAAAAACGTCGCTGCTTCGATTCCCGACCACACCAACTTTACTATTGCTCGGTATAAGTAACCCCAATATCTCGTTCACTTCTGATGGTCGTTCTACCATGTCACGAGGTAGACTGCGCAATCCATACGGAACTAAGAAATAAAATGGGGAGTTCAGGATGAGCTAAACTGAGCCAACTGTATTTACTGATTAACTCTATCAGTTCTAAGTTGTTCTCGCCAGACGTACAGTAGGGGCCAGTTTTATGCAGCGTCACTACAGGTAGAAACCTAAACGAATAAAACTTTATTTATACTTAATATAGTTCTATAAGTTCTAATCTGCTCTCTTTGGACGTTCAATAAGGGCTATTCTTATCTGCTCAGTGTTACTAATATTTAATTACTACAGAAAGAAAATTGAACTAAAATATTGGTTTATTGGTTTTGGATTGCGCTTTCATTTCTGAAATATTCTCTTCTGGTATCTCTATCACCAAATTATTCTGAAAAGTAAATTTTCAAGTGTAGGAAGGCTGGTTTTCAAAACCACTTTAAAAATGGCTTGCTGACAAAAATACATCTTGAATTCATAGAGTGCAAATTTGGAATGTGTTTTATGAACTATCAAAGTACCAGACGATCTGATCTACATTAAATTGGAAATTTTTACCATAGTAGTCTTACACGTATAATTTATCTAACGCATGACTAACTTTATGGATGATTGATTTTATGCAAGATTGATTTCTTACATTGTCTTTACAAAAGATTTCAGAGGTCGCGCCTTAGACTTTTTGCAAGATGAAATTGTCTGGTACTCTTGACACAGTGACGTCGCTACTATGTGTGCGTGGGGGGGAAGGGGGAGTGTAACATCCCTCCGATAATTTTTAAGTTCAAGAAGTTGGTCAAAATAAAAAGCCTTTGGTCAAAATAGTTGGTCACTTTTTAAACAAAATTAGAAAAGAGAAATATGCGAATGCATCGAAAACCAAATTATTATTAAGCGTTGAGCAATACAGCATGAATTAACAGGTAAACCTTCTCTGTTTTGCTTTGCATTTTAATACGACTACCATACCAGCTATCATGTTGGTCCACTTCTCCACACCAACTGCATGAAGGCATGACCGAAAGCTAGTGTACCTCTTAAAATGTTTTTGTTTGAATTAATTTTTAAAGTTTTCCACAGATTCCCAGGGGAGGGAGAGCCTGCCCTTTCGTGTTTGGTTTGGAAAATTGGTAATAGTTGCATACTCAGTTGGCCATGCTATGACTCCTACCCCTAAAAAAGTCCGCGAACTTTCTTCATTTCGACAACAGCCTCCCCCCCGCCCCCAACATCCCTAATCGTAAAATCGCTGTACGGTCCCTGATTCTAACATGGGAAATTTTGTATCGAGGTTTACATTGTCAACTAACTAGTAGTACTCAACAGCGCAAAGAAAAAGAAGTATTAGGACTATAACTATATTTATAATAACTCTATCGGCAGGGCTCAATACAACGGTCGGCCACCGGCCATTAGCCGAGTAAAATGCTGATATGGCCGTCTACTTATTATTCCGCACGGACATTATGGCCGACCGTTTTGTCTCATCAATTTCAATATTTCTTCCTTTATTGTGTTCGTTATTCGCCACTTTACAGACTCTGGGAGTGACTGACACTAATTTACTTTCGTCCTTACCTAATATTGGGATACTGCTATTAGTCTATAGTACACAATGATGCTTGGTTGATGAGAGTGTAACCTGCTTGTGTGATGTTACTCTGAGTGTACATCCACACCGCGAAGGCTTGAAAAATATGCCTGGCCACGGTGGGATTCGAACCTACGACCTAAGGAATATCAACTCATTGCTCTGCCAACTGAGCTACGCGGTCAGGTCGGTTCGAGTATGCGATATTTCGGAACTGAGTCTAGTTCCTTCGATATCAGTGTAATCTAATATTCATGAAATTTGCTGTGTTGGTGAAATTTGCTGTGTCGGTGTGGATGTACACTCAGAGTAACATCACACAAGGAACTTATTCAACTGAGTACATTACAACAACACAGCAAATTTCATGATTATTAGATTACACTGATATCGAAGGAACTAGACTCAGTTCCGAAATATCGCATACTCGAACCGACCTGACCGTGTAGCTCAGTTGGCAGAGCAATGGGCTAGTATTCCATAAGTCGTAGGTTCGAATCCCACCGTGGCCAGGCATATTTTTCAAGCCTGCCGGTGTGGATGTACACTCAGAGTAACATCACAAAAGCATCTTATTCACATGAGTACATTTCACCAACACAGCAAATTTCAGGATTAAGAGTGTAACCTGTTCATATTTTTTCGTGTATTGTGTAGTTTTGTTAACCGTTATGCATATGCATATGGTTTTGGACTTTTGGTAGTTGTTATGGTTTTGATTTCTAGTACTGACAACTGACAATGTCCCTGTTGAGAATAATTAAGAATTTAAGTGTCCGATCATGTCCGACCAAAACATGGGTTGGTCTGGCACAATTTCAGACTACGTTTTCAGAATTATTTTGAGCTCTGGTGGCGTGCACTTCGCGAAATACTGGGGGCGGAAGATTTAGGTTGCCAATATATGATCACCTTGTTGCCGCAAATGTTAGTTATTTAAACTTTTTCTGTCCTAAAATTCACGCAATACATAGTGCCAATTATAACTTACCAACGCTTTAATGGTTGCAAAATTGTTATTACAGCTTTGTTACACAATTAGCCTTTCTCACGGTGACGAATATCCGCCATTTTTGGGTGGCATTTGATTCTCGTTAACCAATGCGGACAATTAAAACAAAGTGAAAAGCAATTTTTCAAAATAAACTAACCACTCACAATGCTTTGTCCAAATGTGGACTTATCTCGCAGACTTCGGCTGAAAAGCCACCCAAAAATGGCGGCGTGAGAAAAGCTAATTAGTCATCCAGCGTTCAAAGGCTTTCAGAAATTATTGGGGAAGGTGGTTGCCTCCCCTCCTCTAGCACCCCAGTATCCGCCACTGCAGCAAGGGTCATCCATTCAGCAAGGATCATGCTAGACTGAACTAACTTTATATCTACTGGATTATAGACAAGTGCTTTATCAGTTCTAGACTGTTCTCTCTATTATCAGAGTTAAAAATTAGCTAACACAGTAACCCTTATTGTCTTGAGATGCCTGTGGAAGAGCCATTTCTTGCCTGTCAAGTGTTTCTATACACAAGGAAAGTGCAAACCTAAACTACAACAACTTGATTGAAAAACATTACTGGATTGCTTTATCAATTTAAACTGTTCTCCCTAGAGATTGAAAAACAACGGTTGTTGTCGCTAAACTCCTATGTGTTGAATCAAATAATTTTGTGAACAAAATAGCGTGATCAAGTTTGTATTGTTGTTTGAAAGTTATCCGACGGCCAAACATCTCGATAGGCAAAATCGTGTAAAATACCACAACTTTCGGTACGCAAATATTCTCTCACTGTTTCAATAAACGGAGCTCGGTTTTTAAATCATCTAATAATTTCACTAGAAATTTTCTGAATTATGCGCTCTTCTGACGCAATGAATCTGAGAAAATTTTAAATATCAAAATTTAGTTGCTTGAAAATCCCGTGCACAGGCCTGCAGCATAGTTGTTAAAGGTTAACGTTGATGATGATCCTGCATTTTTGTTAATTAACAAGCTGTCAGTAACAAACTTGTAGGAATTTGATAAGAACATTTTGCAACTTATTGAGAAGGTTGCTACAATGTTGTTGCGAACACACCTTTCAGGTAAGATTTGAGAATTTTACGCTTGTATGTGAATGACATGAAAGTCAATGTTGCAAGAAGCAGTGAATTAAATCCAGTGGCGGACACTTTATGAAATATTGTGGGGGGGGGGGGTGGGGCTCGTGTTAAAAATGTTAAAATTTGTAACCCGGAAATGGCATTTCCAGCATTCTGAGAACATATTTTGTGAAAAACTAGGTTTTCAAAACACTGTTTTAATGGTGCGTTTTGTTATAAATCACATGCTAAGCAGAAAACCAACATTTCCGAGAAAATATTTACATGATTATTTGCATTTGTGAATGGAATTGCAAGGTGGTTTTATTTAACTAACACGCCAATGACAATGTAAAAATTTATTCGCTAAGTGACTGAAATTTATTCGCTGCGCACGCTTTTGTTTTTGTTAACATAAAATTGGAATGTTAATGATTATCCATTGTTTTTTAGCATAATAGTTTAATACGCATTCAAATATTAATGTGCAGCAGGAAATTTTGCCGCTAAACAATAGTACGTATAAGCTTCAAAAACAACAAAAAACGACAATAACATTTAATAAAGAAGTGCCTGTACGTTGCAAAAAGTTGACCCTCTAGTGTCCGTCAAAAAGAATGTATAAAATGCGTATGTTGTGACATGAACAGTACAGAAACATATATTATTTTATTGTTTGGTATATTGCTTTCTTTTTTAGCTCAAGTTTTATCAAATAGTTATTATTTAGTATGAAAATTACGTTATATGAATGTGATTTCTGTTATTTGGTACAACATTTTTACAGTCTTTCAAAATTGTGACCTTCATTCAAAGACCAGTACTTTTTTGGAAAGTCTGACATGTCGATTCAGCTATTTGAATTACTGCACGCCGAATGAAAAGCGCACTACAAGCAAAATACATTTGTTCATAGTAGCCTGCGTGTGCCGAAACCCTGTTCCGTAAGGTCTGGGACTGCTGGTCATTTTCCCATTCCTGTGTGTTGTCGATGCTAGCTGACTGACAAACTTCATGACTGACAAACTAACTGACTGACTTCATCACAGACAAGCTGACTACCCGCTGTTGATCTAACTGTTTCACTGGCTGACCAATAGACGAACTGATTACTGAGTCACTGACTGAGCGATCAACTGATTTACCGACTGACTGCCTAATTCACCAACTGCCTGAATACCTTAATAGTTGCCTGACCGATCTAAATACTTATAAGTTATCCCTGCTGCCCAAGGTGGTATTGTAGTAGTAACTTCTTATTAACCGAACGCGAGGTCTGTACAGAGAAATATCGGACCGAGGTCTTCTTTGTACAGACCGAACCCATAGGGCGAGGTTTATACAAAAAGATAGATGACCGATATTTCTCTGTACATACCGAGCAAGTGAAGTTAATAAAAATTTTATTATATGGCATTTATACTAGAATCAAACCAGAAATGCATGATTTGAAATGCATGTTAGTAACTTGGTACACATTAAATTTGGTCGACGAAAACAAAAAATACTAATGTCTTCCTTCTTTTGCACTAAAAACCATCCACAGATATCTTATTAATAACAAATTAAATTATAATTTTCAAATTTTCAATTGGTTTTGCTGTTTTGTTTCAAAATGCATGCATTTGGTTTCACGTAATGGGTCGCCGGTCTATTACGGGAAAATAATGGACCGCTGAAAGTGCTTCTCAGCCAATCACAGTCCGCCATTTCACCGGAAGTGATGCTTGCCATATAATAAAATACTTTATAAATATTTCATGTTTTAGTGTGAACAAATAAATACCTTTTTTAACTGCAAACTCTGAATAATTTTCTTTTTGCTTATCATGATCTTCTGTTTTTAACTTTTCGTTGAGATGTTCAAGCTCGTTCGAATGACGTTCAAGTTCGTTCGAATGACATTCAATTTTCTCCTTCTGACGTTTAAGTTCCTCCGAGTTCTCGGCTGCATTCTTTTCAACCTCTTCAATTTTGCGGAGTTTTGATTCTATATTATTAATTTTCTCATTCACTGTATTTATCTGCAAGAGATACATGTAATGTAACATTTAATAAATTAAGTATAAATATTTATTTTATGGGAAATGCAGCATACGAGAAATGCAGCACTTTGATTGGCTCCTCATGCAGTGGTCCGAAACCAGCAGTATATACCGCGCTAGGTTGGACATCCAGGCATCAGCAAAGGCATAACACCTTTGAGCGGCGCCAGCGCACCAGAGCAACGGTAACAAAGTGGCGGAGTTGAGGTATTCAAGCAAATTTTACACATTCCGGACGCCTCATTCCGACGCTTTCATTGGGTAGGATTGGGAGCCTCTTTTGTTCACAGAGGGGCCCTGGAGCACAAGGTTACGACAGTAAAGACACTACAATGTTGAAAACCAGATGTGCCAGTACAGCATATATATGCAGTGCCATCAGAAGCAAATTGTTGCGTTTAAACATCCAATATTTTCCAATGTACTTTATAACTTTCTACATCCTCATCCTCTCTACACCTTCAACGTTCAACAATTAAGATTAATTACTCATCATTTATTCATCGCTAAGAAACGGTTTTTTTCATATCTTCATGTCTTACTACTTATTCAAAGATTGTTAGGCCAAGAAAAAAGTATCGCAAACCTCTGCGTTAGATTCATGTTTCAAAGATGTACGAAGTTCTGTAACCAACTCCGTAATATGCTGTCCAAACCACCACCCCAGACCAGCTGAAATTAATAAATAAATAAATAATAATGATTTATTGGCAATATGTAATTTCAAAAATGTACAGTATCTTAGCAAATCAGTTAAACTAGCATAGGTTAGGTACATGGCTCACTCTCTGCAGTTGCCAATTAGAAAGTTTCATTAACTAGCTTCCGCACCGCAATGTGAATAAAATTTAATTTTTATCATGAAATTGTTTTCGACGGTTGAATTTCTGAAATGGTTTCTACAAAGAAAACCGAAACGTCAAAAAAGTATTCTAGTAATAAAATCGGGATGAAAATAAACGAATAAATAAGAAAAAATTGTTTTGTTGATATTTTTAAACAGAAAGATTATGGACAAATTAGCTCATAATAAATTTAATAGACAAACAGTAACATATATTATGAAACTGTGTGGTCTATAGTGTTGGCTGCAGCGATGAACACACAACTTTGTGGAAGATGTCTTGACAGCCATTCTAAACAGAAAAATATGTACTTCCCGACTGTTCATGCAAAGGCCCTTTGTCTCGAAATTCAATTTCCAACCAGCGAACGGGTGCATTCGGCCTTACGAAATTAAGATATTCATTAGTTCGGAGAGTCTCCTAAGGCCCGTTTTAAACGTCGCGCTTCTCATGTGCCGAAAGCATTAAAAACAATAGGTAATCAACTGAAATGCTTGATCAATGATCATCTATTGTTTTTAATAAGTTCGGCACATGAGAAATGCGACGTTTGAAACAGCCCTAATTCAAAATGCAAATATACGTAAGTTATGAATTTTAGGCAGTTGACAATTAATTTCTCGATAATTATATTAAAATAATATAAGTGATATGTGGCAAGTTACTGTATATACCTGATAAAACACTAGGCTGCGGTGTGTTGGCGATACAACACCCTGAAAAACATAAACCTTCGCTTGAAACTTCGACGTTCTGTTTATATTTTTTGGGTAGTTGTACGAGTCCCCACACACCGTGGCCGTTTGTTGTTGTCTCTACCTACACTGGCAACAACCGTTCGAGATTGTATGGAATTACACTACCCAGGTCTTGCAGTATGACGTATCATCAAAAATAATCTGCCATTTTGGGTGGCAAAAATCTTTTATTTCAATGGACTACTAGTAACACAGCTGTGAACCATTATAAATAACTCTTTATGGTGCTCAAAACAATTGAAATAAAAGCAACAGCCGGAGTCAGTGCCACAGTCTTAGTTTGATGCCATGTTTGCTTTTAATGCGCCCTTCCGGAAAGTACGTCATTTTGGCTATAGCTCTTTCGTGTACGTGACATCATAAAGTCACGTTGAATTGAACAACGTTGTGCGGCCCACATTGTTCACAGTTACATTGTTCACAGTTGTCAACAATTTTGAACAATATTGTTATACCCGATTCAGGCTCAACAATATTGTTCAATATTGTTGACAAGTGTGAACAATGCCCACCGTACAACATTGTTCAATCCTGTTAAGTACAACATTGTTCAATCCTGTTAAACAGCAGGCTTATAATTTTTACGCGTATAGTGAAGTAATTCTATTTAATGCGCACGCATCCATCGCGTATAGTGAAGTAATTCTATTTAATGCGCACGCATCCATGACAAGATAAATTAATTTGCACAATAAAGAGAGCACGCCCCGTTCTATATAGTGGCTCTCCTTCCTGGTGTTTCCACAAATAAAAAGTATTATATGTTTCATCGCCATGCAAACCTACAAAGAACTGATGAACTGATGTTTAATTTGCCACCCAAAATGGCGGAATTCAACAAATACGTGTTGTGACGTTACTATTTCACTACGCCCCCCAAACTCGATTTTCAAATATATTATTTATTTATTTATTTACAAATATTTTAAAATGGTAAGTAAGTCTGATTTTGAAATTTATATTCATTCTAAAAATACATGCATGCAGAAACCCTCGCCTTGCTGACAAAACCATTCTATTTTCCGAACATGAAGTATCTAAAGTAATTGTCATGGTATAACACGATAATTTTTAAGAATATTCTCACAAATGAAAAATCGCCTAAAAAATATCACTTTTAATTACAAAATTATTAATTTCCCAACATATATATGTTAGGTATGTTATTATGCGTAATATAAGCCTCAATTTAAGGTAAAATTCAACCACATACGCTTCGCAAAACGTTTTAAAGTCACTAGTGTTCTTTATATAAAAACTATAAAACTGCCTTTTAAAATGGCTTTGTCGATAAACTTTGAGTTTGCAATAAAATGATTTCAAATTCTCGCTTGCAAATAACTCTGCCTTCTACTTTATCTAAAAAATACAATATCATAAAAAAGGGAATCAATATTACTAAAGATGCACTGAAATTATATGCTGTCTTGTTTAGTTGTTTCATATACGCAAAGGCCGTCGGGTTTTAAATTAAAGCCATTATGAAATCAATATTTAAAACAAACTTACCTTCGTTAACGTCGGCTCACTTCTTTTAGCCGATTCTTTCGCCCTTTCTTTCTTGAAATTTACAAAATCTTGCAAAAATGCGAGCAAAAATGAAATATATTTGCAAGAAATTTATCAATCGTCAAATCAACTCAAGAAATGTTTGGCTGTTTGCTATTTCGCTGTCGTCATGCAGTCGTTATAATGCAAACTTTAAATTAGACCAATCAGTGTCCGCTACTCGTGACAGTCCGCCATATTTTTGAGATCAGTGAGGATGACCACCCACCCAACACCGTTGGTGACCCACGCCCGCGATATTTGATGAACTTTAGACTCCGCTAATGCTTTCGTTTCCCCGGGTGTAAATAGCCGGGGGGAATTAGTACCCTCGCACGGCGCTTCGTGCCGTCGGCTCGGGGAAAATAATTGTAAGTCGCTTCCTAAACAATATACAGTGCTATGGTGGTTAATAAAAAATGTCATGGCTAGACGCTATAATTATCACACCAATCACTTATTGTTATAACATCACCTGACACATGCACGCTTGTAATTAATTCATTCCGCTTTACCCGCCCGAGACTACAGTTAGGTAGTCGGGAAAGGTCGTTTAAATAAAAATCTTAGTCAGACAACGTTTACTTTTAGTTATGTGTAAACCTAGCTACGTTATAATTTATGTACTAAGGTTGTTTGGCATGTAAAATGATGATAAGGTTTCTAAAGAACGAAGGAACATCATGTATTTAAAATCATTCGTGTTCTGAGCTTGATTGGCATATATTATAATAATTCAGTTTGATGTTGTTGTAATTAATTCATTCCGCTTTACCCGCCCGAGACTACAGTTAGGTAGTCGGGAAAGGTCGTTTAAATAAAAATCTTAGTCAGACAACGTTTACTTTTAGTTATGTGTAAACCTAGCTACGTTATAATTTATGTACTAAGGTTGTTTGGCATGTAAAATGATGATGATAAGGTTTCTAAAGAACGAAGGAACATCATGTATTTAAAATCATTCGTGTTCTGAGCTTGATTGGCATATATTATAATAACCTAGCTAGCTGTTATAATTTATGTACTAAGGTTGTTTGGCATGTAAAATGATGATAAGGTTTCTAAAGAACGAAGGAACATCATGTATTTAAAATCATTCGTGTTCTGAGCTTGATTGGCATATATTATAATAATTCAGTTTGATGTTATAATTCATGTACTAAGGTTGTTTGGCATGTAATATTATGATAAGGTTTCTAAAGAACGACGCAACATCATGTATTTAAAATCATTCGTGTTCTGAGCTTGATTGGCATATATATTATAATAATTCAGTTTGGTGTTATAATTCATGTACTAAGGTTGTTTGGCATGTAAAATCATGATAAGGTTTCTAAAGAACGACGCAACATCATGTATTTAAAATCATTCGTGTTCTGAGCTTCATTGGAATATATATTATAATAATTCAGTTTGATGTTATAATTCATGTACTGAGGTGTTTGGCATGTAATATCATGATAAGGTTTCTAAAGAACGACGGAACATGTATTTAAAATCATTCGTGTTCTGAGCTTCATTGGAATATATATTATAATAATTCAGTTTGATGTTATAATTCATGTACTAAGGTTGTTTGGCATGTAAAATTATGATAAGGTTTCTAAAGAACGACGCAACATCATGTATTTAAAATCATTCGTGTTCTGAGCTTGATTGGCATATATATTATAATAATTCAGTTTGATGTTATAATTCATGTACTAAGGTTGTTTGGCATGTAAAATCATGATAAGGTTTCTAAAGAACGACGCAACATCATGTATTTAAAATCATTCGTGTTCTGAGCTTGATTGGCATATATTATAATAATTTAGTTTGATGTTATAATTCATGTACTAAGGTTGTTTGGCATGTAATATCATGATAAGGTTTCTAAAGAACGACGGAACATCTTGTATTTAAAATCATTCGTGTTCTGAGCTTCATTGGAATATATATTATAATAATTCAGTTTGATGTTATAATTCATGTACTATAGGTTGTTTGGCATGTAATATCATGATAAGGTTTCTAAAGAACGACGCAACATCATGTATTTAAAACCATTCGCGTTCTGAGCTTGATTGGCATATATTATAATAATGCAGTTTGATGTTATAATTCATGCACTAAGGTTGTTTGGCATGTAATATTATAAGGTTTCTAAAGAACGACGGAACATCATGTATTTAAAATCATTCGTGTTCTGAGCTTCATTGGAATATATTATAATAATTCAGTTTGAAGTTATAATTCATGTACTAAGGTTGTTTGGCATGTAATATTATGATAAGGTTTCTAAAGAACGACGCAACATCATGTATTTAAAATCATTCGTGTTCTTAGCTTGATTGGCATATATTATAATAATTCAGTTTGATGTTATAATTCATGTACTAAGGTTGTTTGGCATGTAATATCATGATAAGGTTTCTAAAGAACGACGCAACATCATGTATTTAAAATCATTCGTGTTCTGAGCTTGATTGGCATATATTATAATAATTCAGTTTGATGTTATAATTCATGCACTAAGGTTGTTTGGCATGTAATATCATGATAAGGTTTCTAAAGAACGACGCAACATCATGTATTTAAAATCATTCGTGTTCTGAGGTTGATTGGCATATATTATAATAATTCAG